AGGAAAGTTCATTTATTGGAAAGTAGTGAACAGCTCTAGAAACATAGCTGGAACTGAGTCCTACGCACACCAAAACTTAGTTTTACCTCACTCCCATTTCACCCCCCCTTCTGTCTCTGAATCTCTCTTGCGTGTGTTGAGGATTGTCTCTGGTTCTCAGGTTGGTACGACCTTGGGCATTCCTGAGAGCCAGATAATAGTCCATCTGTGGCTAATGGTTAACCTTCCAACCTTCCCTCCCTTCCTCCCCTTCACTGTAATGGTAGAAACGAAGCAAGTGAACTAGCAGTGCAAGTGATTGATTGTGAGGATTCTGACAGAGACGTTAACTCGCTGATCTACCTGACACGGATCTACAATGAGAAAACTGGGATGTCATTTGGACTGGAGAAGTGTGGATGCATGGTAGTAAAGAGAGAGAAGATAGCTAAGACTGATGGGGCAGAACTACCAGAGGGCCACATAGCAGACATACAGACCAGCTACAAGTACCTTGGTATCTCACAGTCACATGGGAACCATGATGAGGAGGCAAGGAAGACAGCAACAGCCAAGAACCACGAAAGGATAAGACAGGTCCTGAAGAGCCAGCCCAATAGGAGGAACAAGATCCACGCCATCAACACATACGCCCTGTCAGTCATCAGATACCCTGCTGGTATAATGAGCTGGCCAAAGGAAGACATGGAGACTGCTGATATGAGGACCCGGAAGCTCCTCACAATGTACAGAGGTTTCCACCCAAGTCCAACACCAGATGGTACACCAGCTGGAAAGAGGGTGGGCAGGGTCTGCTGAATGTCAAAGCCGCTGTTCTGGATGAAACCCAGAGCATCCAGGAGTACATCAATAAGATGGCACCCAAAGATGAGCTGCTGAGAGAATGCCTGAGGCAGCAGCAGACATGGGAGGAAGTTCAAGCAAAGGAAGTTACATGGCAAGACAAGCCCCTCTCTGGGATGTACCACTGACAGATAGCTGAGGTGGCTGACTTTGGGAAATCCTACCAGTGGCTGGAAAGGGCTGAACTAAAAGATAGCACTGAGGCACTGATCATAGCAGCACAAGAACAGGCACTAAGCACCAGATCCATAGAAACAGGGGGGGACCA